GGCCAAGTGGCTCAGTTGGTTAAGAGCTCGCTCAAGAGTGCAAGGTCTGAGCAACAGGGTCGCCGGTTTGATTCCTGGCCCAAGCTGAACTGCCAACAGGTGGCAGGATAGCTCAGTTAAAAAAAAAAAACTATCACAAACTTATTAAATATAGAAACATAATGTTCAGCAGATTGCTGTCTGAAGTGTATTAAATACATAAATTATTCCCCAGATGACTATAATAGAAGTAAAATCAGTTGGAAATTTTGGGCCCACCAGCATTCAGGAACCACTGCAGATGGAAAATATTAGATAAGAACTTACAACAAGGCAAAGTCCCATATTTCCATAGCCCTACAGTCCAGTAGGTGCTTAGAAAGTGTTAAAAGAAATTTAATGTTACCATAATGGCAATTCTATTACTCTTCAGTTTATAAGGATCTCTATATATCAATCTTTAGGTTTACATTCTAGAAAAAATTTGACTTATTTAGAAATGTGGTTTCAGCCCTCTATTTTATATAACTCTTAAAATACAGTGTATAGAAAACAAGGAAAAAGTAAACTAGCCTTGGCTATTTTATGCCCAATTCCACAAGATAATTTTACTAAATATAAAGGACATTATGCATTTGAGAACGGACCTGACTATGCAGGGCTAGAGTTTATCTTTAGTGGGAGAATTAAAAATAAAAAGCCTGCACTGATCCAGAAGAAATATGTCCAATCGGAAGATGTATTTAGCTGAATAGAAGGAATGATACTTCGATAGGACAAAACAGAACCAGCCTCTGTAGAAGCTCCAAACTTCCAAGGTATAATAATATATGCAGACCAAGTTGGATGTTACACCCAAAATACCTGCCCCTATTAACAAGTGTTTCCTATTCTTGTCAGGTTTGGGAAGTGGGGGTTGGGGGTTGTCTGAAGCCTCAGTCCTTACAATCTGGTGCTCTGTGGGCATCTACTCATTTTTTCCTTAGAAGCTCAGAGTACCTCTGAGTCACTGAAAGGTCACAATCACAGTTCTCTGCAGCCACCACCAGCAGTCTTTAGAGACAAGGTGTAGAATGTGGATACGCTCCCACCATGGAAAAGAGATAAACCTAGCTAGATACACTTCGAATTGAAGGCCAGGCCTTCAGGCCTCTGGAAAACAGCTGCTCCCCTAAACATGGTCCGCAGCCTCTAACTAAGTGCTAAGCCCACCTATAACCACTGGGAAGCAGCCTCTCACTATCCCAGAGACCTACATTAGCTTCCAGAGGATTCTTGGACCTGTGCTTTTACTGCAGAGGGACTGTCTCCAGCTTGGCCTGGGGAGATGCTAGTGACAAGGGAGTGAGTTACCCTTGAGCAGTTAATTTTCAAACTTCGGGTTGTGAAATCTATTTGGTCTGTGACCAAAATAAATTTTTAATGAAAAAGAAAATCAGAGCACCTCACATAAATCATAGGTACCAAGTCTTGGTTTCTAATACCACTCCCACTAAAAGAAACCATGGCTGATTCCAAGGCTGGGGCAGGGTAAGCACAAGATGAGCCTGGAGCATCTTAGGCCAGAAAAGGAAGTGTTCAAAAAAAGGAAAATGATAGGAGCATGTTACAAGGACGACGGAGCTACCTTGAAGGGGCTCCCTCTGGCCAAAGATGAGGCCATTTGAGCACCAAAATAATGAATTAGAACCATTCAAAAAATAATGCACAAGTCCATAGTGAAAATTAATTGAATGAATAAATAGGAAAGAAGGAAGGACTTTGCTTATAGATGACCAAGGGTAAATGCGAAGGGAGTGCTGAAATTGAAAAATCATTTTGTAGCTATCAAAGTAAAAGATTGATTCAGACAAGAAACATCAGTAGATGCTAAATCTAAGGGGAAATAATTCTGATGAAATATTTGCATGATCTGAAAATGTTTCTATACGTTTGTTATTCACTCCAAGGGGAGAATTATACAGTGGAAAAATTGGACAACACCTTGACCAGGTGATCAAGATTTAACATCATCAGTGAGGGGCAGATGGCTATCAAGTGACCTCAGAGGTGAATCCCTAAAAAGGACATGTCACTTAGGATTCTAGCCAAGAATGCATAAACTGGTTCTAGCATTTTCTATTACAAAATGTGGTGGGGAAACCTATATTCACCAGAAAACATTGAGGACATAAAAGATAAAGGTTNAGCAGATGGTCAACATTCAGAGGAGTCAGGCCAGCGACTGCAGAAGCACACTTTTCACAGCTTTGCTGGCTACAGAAGCCTTTGTACATAAGGGAGATGGATGCTGCTATACAAACACCAAAGACTTAAGTATGTGCGTTACTGACCACAGCCCTGGTCTTTTCTGTTCCTGGCCCCTTCTTGGGCCTCCACACCAAAGCAGGCTGGATTCCAGGAGGCTGCTTCCCCCGCCCTCTGGGCAAAGCCAAGCATAGCCTCATTGCTCTGTGCCATGGAGTCTTGCAGCCCCTTAACCCCTGGGTAGCGACTGTGTACACCTTTACCCCAGCCCCCAGTTGCAACATTTCTGGATGTGCCTTTAAAAGATATAACTGTAAGGGATGGGAGAACTTGAGAGAGATGAGAACCCACCCTGCTTCGGGTAGGGGCAGGGTTCTGTGACTCGTTTGTCAACGGCAGCCTGTGCCACACAACTCAGTTTACCCAGCTTTGCCTGTGCCTGTGCCTTAGTTCCTGACAGCTGCTGCACTAGCCTCCCTGCTTCCCAAAGCTCTCAGCAGAGGAGGGAAACTTATGTTCAGGACCATGTGATGAGAAGTAGACAAGGTTGGATCTTGGGTTTGGTTCATGCACCTGGTACTAAAAGACTAACTGGAGGGGAAAATTTTATGTAGCCATTTTTATTTAAGAAACTAGATCTAATTCATTGTAGGGCTCATGTACTCTACACACAGCATGAGCATCAAGTCCTAAACAAAAGTCCTGTCACTTTAAAAGCCAGAGTGGCAGTAACATTGAATTGACAGAAACTACTGCTATGGTTTCCTCTTGACAGAGTACACATCAGCTTATCCTCTTCAGCTTATCACCTAAGGAAATCCCCTACTTCTTTACCAGGAAATTCTCCTTTGACTTTTTCTGACTGAATGGCAACGATGGAAAGATTTATAGTTGCAATAGATTTAATATTCAAAACTGCAATATTCTACATTTCTTAGAAATAAACTAACACCTCATTTCTTCCCCTCCGTCCCCCGAAGCATTAATTTAAGTTCAACAAAACATTCCTTAGGATCATTTTTAAAGGCTCTAAGTGAAGCAGATACATTCAGCTTACTGAGCACTACAGTACTGCATAAGCACAGCTCAGGGATGGAGTTTTTGTGTGTGTCTTTTTGGGATGGGGCTGGACCGTGCTTCCCTGCCCTTAGCAACAGATCTTTTAGTGGATAACAGCACAAATGACAGACTGATGAATTTTTTCCAAGAGCTTTCTGGCCAGTCTACCAAAATGTCCACGGATGTGGAGTTTATTACTTAATTGTAGTCACATCTGTGTGTCAAACAAGCAGTAATCTAGAATGAAAAGAGGGTTGTTAACCCTTCATGAGGTGGCCTGAGGGTTCCTGACTCAACCCCAGTGCTTACCAAGAAGGCTGCAAGGACAGCTGCGGTTCTCCTCAAAGGTTCCAACGAGCCCTAGGAGTTTCTAAACTCAGGCCTCTCCTGGTAATGCCCTACTCGTTTGATGGGAAGTATTCTGGGACTCAGACTTCCCTTCGCAACCTGTTGATTTTCAGTCTCCTTCACTGCTTTTTGGAAAGCAACCTCCAGGCTGAGGGAGGCAACACAAAGCTGCCCTCTGAACTTGGGGACTGAGGTTCTTAAAAGGCCTTGGTTTTAGCTAAGGCATGCAGGGGTCATTGGTAGTGGGAGCAGCCTGCTCAGTCTCATCTAGTCCTAAGATTTGTGACTCAGTGGGCAGTTGGGAACCAGCCATGACCCAAATAATTTTTAAATTTTAAATTCTCTCTCCAATCTAGTGCAAAGCACACATTCTTCTGAATTAGTGAATTGAACAAAATATGGAAGAAATTTTTCTTAAAATCAGGAAGGCTTGCTCACAATTAAAGGACAAACTATTTTGTGACTTTCACACTATTTCCCTTTCTTATAGCACCATTCTGAAACCTGCATTGTTGCTTCCAAATTTTGAGAGCTTGTTTTCCAAATTTTGTGGGCAGCTCCTAAAAGATCTTGCCCCTGATGTAGCTCCATTACAGGTAGATTCTTCCCTCTCTGGGCCTCAGCTTCCCAAACTATAGAGTGGGCATTATCGTACCTGCTCTACGCCTTAGCCCTACATACACAATGCCTAAAAATTCCATTACGTTATTAAAATGGAAACTACTGCTGGCCAAGTGGCTCAGTTGGTTAAGAGCTCGCTCAAGAGTGCAAGGTCTGAGCAACAGGGTCGCCGGTTTGATTCCTGGCCCAAGCTGAACTGCCA